GTAGGGGTATTAAACTCACGACATCACATGACATGTCACGATGTAGCGTGACTTTTTTCCATTGCCAATGGGTGGGCAGTTTCACCATGACGCATCCAGCCCGCAGGCCGGCAGTTTGACACTTTACAGCATCAAAAGGATTAAGACCCCAAATGGCAGAAAGGTTTATAGAATTCAACTCATGAGAAAGCTGGCTAAAATCTTATAGTCCTTTTTCTTCACTTTCCCACTGTTTGGGATGCTCTTCTTGGTATTGGAATAACTTGCAAGAAAGGAATTAATTTGTTGGAGAGGAATGGATTATAAAAATGGGAGCAGGCGTGCAATGGGAAATGCATACCGAAATAGTTGGCATCTGCTGTTCGCCTAGTGGCCTCTGGGCTGTGAAGCTGCAGCTTAGGAGGCAAGGGAAATGAAATTGATTAGGGTCAATTTCAGGCAGCAGCTGCAAGAGGAAGGTTATAATCAACTAATTAAGAGCTGACTTTGTTAAATTGTGGTTAGCACTTTTTAGGGAAGCACTGTACTACAGAAATAAGCAGCTCATAAAGAGATTGCTTATCTAAACAATCTCCCTCACTGTAAAAGGAGAAAAAGAAGAAAAAGAATGAGCCAGACAACAGGAAAATGTCTAATGATTTGTAATGGTGAACATGTGACTAAGGAAAAGACAATATAAAAGTCATAAATGTGGGCAATAGTCACCAAGTTACTTTTTCATTACCATTGTAATGGCGTTTGCTGCCTGAAGCAGTTGCTAAATGAGGATTACCTGTATGGCAAAGTGGTCTATTTGGGACTGCAGTCTGAAATCTACAAAGCATGCAAATGCAACCACATATATAATGGGCACAAGTTGATTCAGCAAAATAATACTTTGTAGGTTTCTGAGTATAACTTCTGATGCTAGTTTTCACCTATAAATCAGTATATGGTAAAATCTTAATAAATTGACATGCCACTCATCTCACTATCCATGGTGACTCTTTGGGTAAATCATAGGATACTCACAAGGCTGCAACTTTCGGACTTCCGGTTTGCCGAGTCAGCCAATATGGACGTCTGGAAGGCAAGCTGTCTTCCGCGTTCAGGACCCTGGGGGACCCTGAAAAGGGTCGAAAGTCGCCCTGTAGGGGCGACCAGCAAGGAGAGGATCCCCCTTGGATCATGGGAGGGCGGTAGCTCTTCCGCTTGACCCAGGGCAGCCCTCCAAACCGGCAGACAAAAGACCGGCCATAGCAATATGGCTCATCACTAGGCTGCAGACAGCCGAGTCACACTTACCATCAGGCAATTTTAAGGCAGCGCAGACAAGGCTGGGTGAGATCTACCTCTCTTAAATCCTAACTATTTTCTTTACCTGCATAAGCTGCCTTAAGTACTTTCCCCCCTGTGGAGAGGGGAGATTTTACCCCTCCTCTAGAAACAGCGGCGACTGACTATCCAGGGGAGTTTAAAATGTTGAAAGAATAACTTGATCCTAATTGGAATTCTACTTTTTTTAAAGTTTGTGGACTAAAAGATCTTCTATGTTTATTGAAGATTGGAGTTTTTACTTATAAGAAAGAAGCAAAACTGAAAATATTATAAAAACTTTGGATTCAAAAGAAAAATTTTAAGGGTAGGGGCGACATCTTGTGGCTAAACCTGATACTACAATTTGTTATTGTCTAAAAGAGACGTGGCCAGCAGCCCAGACAAAGAGATAGGACTGATGCAACCTTGAGAGAAGCTCAGCTGTGTTCCTTATTCAGTGACAAAATCTTTTTTTTTTTGCATTCTCTGATTGTAAAGCTTTTAACCTAATACAGTGGTGGCGAACCTTTTAGAGACCGAGTGCCCAAACTGCAACCCAAAACCCACTTATGAATTATCGGGTGCCGGGTGGGTGTGGCCCATTGGGTGGGCGTAGCTGCGGTGGTAACAGCAGACTGGGTGGGACTAAAAAGTTCAATCAATTCCAACTTTGCAAGATCTTTTTTTTCCCGCAACGAGTTGAAATTGACTGATTGATTGAACCTTTTTTTTTTTGCACATGGCAGCAGAGACCTAAAGCAAAAAGGTTTTATAAAACCCAGCTGAAGGCCTACAACTGGGGGGACAGCACACGTGCCCACAGAGAGGGCTCTGAGTGCCACCTCTGGCACCCGTGCCATAGGTTCGCCACCACTGACCTAATACATTACTAAGAAAATATGGATGAAGATCAAGAACAGATTCTATCATCAAACTATTCTTACAGCTACTGATGAAATAAGAGGTTACAAAAAAGAACAAAATGTCAGCCCAGATATACAAACCTAAACTTTGATTACATCTGAAAAATCAACTACACAGAATATAATAGAAAAGGTGGAACAATTAAAGATTATGACAGAAGATTCAACTGATCAACAAATACAGTCAGTGGAAAACTCAGAAAAGGGACTGACAATATGGAAAAAGGAAAAGACTTTCTACATAAATCAGAAAGAACCTGAGGATCAAGAAGAACAGATTGAAGAGAAGATAAACAGCTCAGGACAACTATGTCAAAATGGAAAAATAAAGAGACGATTTGTTAATCCTCTCAAAAAAATAGTGACCAGATGGTTTTTTCTACGTCAAATAATCTATATAACAATACAGGAAGATTTGTTTGATGATTCTAAAGCACGGACATGGAAGACGATTTGGCAAAGAAAGCAAGCTAGAATAAGACTGAAGAAAATTGGGGTTTTGACTTACTTGTGCAAATTAAAATAGAATATACCCAAATAGATGTGTACTTTGAAATATTATGAGATAAGATAAAGAAAACTTTGATTATTTATAACTTAGAAGTATAAATATTAATAGTTAAATTTCAACATTGATTTGCTTATAAAGGTTAAAATGTAAAGGTAATTAAGATATATATAAGCTAAAAATCAATCAATGAATGTAATATTTTTTTTACCTAGCAGTAATAATAATTATTAGCTTAAATATGATAGTAGATATTAGGAGAAAAAGACAGGAAGTATTAAATGTTGAAATAGGAGGAATTTTGATTACTAAATTTAAGATATATGGAAATTACCAGAAAATAAGAATATTATATTGTATTACTAATTAGTTGATGTAAGATGGTAAGAACTCAAATAGATAAGACATGTATTCTGAACATTAGATCTTGTGATGAATTGTGATAAAGGGAATTGGGGTTATTTAAAATTTGGAAATTATAAATTTCAAACGTGAAATATAAATATTAATGGGAAACCAAAAATTGAGAAAAATTAATCAGGACATTGTCTAAAAAGATTGAATGTTAAAACAACCAGGATATGTATAAACTAAAAATTATTGATAAATGCAAGAAGGTTATTTTTTATTTAATTGATATAATAAGAATTGTACTAATTTAAAGATGAGACAGTAAATACTAAGAGGAAAAGACGGGAAACATTTAATGTAATAGTTTGAGATCTGTATTAAAGATATTAGTATGTTATGGAAATTGACCAACTCAGCCACGTTGCTTTTCCAATACTTAAATATAAAACTAGAAAACCAATAAAATTTTCTTAAAAAAAAAAAAAAAAAAAAGACTGCAACTTTCAAATTAACTCCGGAGAGCCTGTCCTGCTCAAGATGGGATGCTCTGGGTTAAAAGGTTGAAAAAAAGCTGAGACTCAAAAGTAATGGTTTTCTGTTGGTGCCCCAACCCTGTGTGCGCTCACTGTATCCTGAAGGATGGCATAAGTAGCTGAATAGAAGAGCACTTGTGCTAGAAGGCAAAAGATACATTGAACATAGTTCCTCTTGGACTTCCATATTTTTATAAGGATTGCTGTATTACACTGAGAGACAATAATTGTATGTTGAGAGACAATGGATGGTAAAACAATGGAAGAATATACATTTTAAAAAACGTTTCAAAAAGCAAACTTCTCCAAAAAAGGTGCATATACAAATAGCCAATGTACTGTAATGTGAACTTCAAATCTACCTTCAGTCACTCTCATTAAGTGACTCGGGCCAATCACTTTTTCTGATCTCAAATGAACATAACAAGGTTTTTTTTTTTTTCCAAGTATAAATTTTTATTATTTTCATCATAAAAAAAGAACACATCACAAATACATCACAATGTAAGAGCCCTACCCCCCACCCCCCACCCCCCGGACTTCCCAAACCTGATCCCAGGATACTATTCAACTAAAAGTAAACTACTATTAATATCCCTAACTCCACAAAATATTATTCTACATAAGTAGGTGAAATATATAAAGAAAGAAAACAAATTATCTACAAGCCTAAATTATATTCCACCATTCTATGCTTATTTTGAATATAAACAATCCATCTTCTCCATATTGATAAAAATTGTTCATTTGAATGATTCTTCAGATAAGCCGAAATTTTTGCCATTTCAGCAAGATGCGAAACCTTCAATCTCCAGTCCTCCATTGTAGGTAAAACTTTACTCTTCCAATTTTGAGCTATCAACANTGAAAAAAAGTTGCATCTTGTTGTCCACACCTCCAGCACTTGGATTCATAATTCTCATAAATACGAGACATAGTTGCAGGATCCATGTGCCATCTATAAAACATTTTGTAAAAGTTCTCACGTAAGTTTTGAGCTTGCGTGAATTTCACATTTCTCACCCATATCAACTCCCAGGTATCCATAGATATTGTTTCTCCTAGAACATAACAAGGTTAACATGAGGGATAAAAAGAAAGATCCCTGTACAACCTGTCCTGCATTCTTGGAGGAAAGGCAGAATATAAATCTAATAGTACATAAATACACCATATTCCAATAATTAGCATTTAAATAAATGGCATGCGAGTATAACTATCGGATCTAAATTGTTAATGTATATTTTATTTATATGAGAAACTGAAAAAATAGCAGCTGAGCTAAGTTAACAATTGCATGGCGCTGTGGGCCAATAGGAAAAGTATTCAAAGAAATTTCTTACTGTTGGAACTAGAGAAATGAAACAAACAGGATTTTTTTTCTCAAGTACTTTATTTTGCAGCAGATACAGCAGAAAGAAGCACCCAGCAAAATGTTTAAAATATATTTAACTATTAATACAATGGAGGAGTGTTTGGTGGTCTTATTGCACTAAACCTTTTTCTATTCCACATCACATAAAATCTAATGAAGTAGTCAGTTTTCCATTTCAAAAATTATCAGCATTTTACTTTAAAAACTTCTCCAATGAGACAATTTACTATAAATACTCTACAATATTGGCTGATTTATAAACACTTAAAAAGGCAATTAAATAACATGATATTGCCACACAAATGCTACTCAAACCAAGCTGTTTTAAATTTACAATGTATTACCATTTCAAATATTCTCTGCAAGAATGTGCTATTACTCATGTAGCATTAACATCACAGTATTACTGGCCAATAAAACAATAGGCAGTATTTTATGAAGGTCTTTTAATGCTCTATGTTGGGGAAAAAAGTAAACCTCAAAACTACTGAGCCTGCAAAAATGATACAGATTGAATTGCTATTATAGAAATATGGAGCAAGACCTTCTAACTGGATATGCTAATGCACAAATAAAGTAATCTAAATAAATGTTTAAAATATAAAAGCATAGCACTTATTCAAGTCTCTCTTGTTCAGAGAATCACCAGGATGGCTTTGCATCAAGGATAATTACTTCTAAGGTACAATCTTCCAATAGTTTAGTATAGAAATAGTTTGTATATGGAATTCTGTACAGAAAATTACAAAGCACCAGAATAATTAACTCATACGTTCCTCACAGTATGAACTATTTAAAGAAGGCTTGTTTTTTGTAGGTCTGCAAAACTGTTTTATGATGAATGCAATAAAAAAAATCCTTTGCTAGTTTTACTCACGCAAAGAAGCAGTATTATGAACAGACCTGGTGCCATAGTATTTATAACATCCAGATATTAGCAGATGTTTTACTGAGAAGGAAAGTACCTTTGCAATAATGCAAACAGTACAACCAAGATATACTAACAATTCTATTATTAAGTCTGATGAAATTGGTTTTCAAATAGAGTGTTCCTGCTCTCTCAGAATTACCCATTTCTCCTTTCCCCTTGATGAAATTTTGTTCCCATTTTGTATTCCTAGGGAATTTTCCTAAAAGAATTATCATCAGCATTGTAGCCCACTTTTATTGGAGCAGTTGTTCTTAAGATTCTGGCCTTTATCACCTTTCAGTGGAAATCAATTAGCTTCCTTAATAAGCAATTTTTCTTCAGAAAGTAGGAATCCATCTGGGAGCTAAACAGCTACAGATAACATGAAATGGGCATGTCAACAATAGTGGGATAGATCAGAATGACAGACTGCTTGCTGGGTATCTAACTAATTTAGATATTATATTCCAATTTTGAAATCAATGAGACACTTGATGATTTCTAGAATGAAATGGCAATTCTTTCATGTACTGTGGTGGAGAGAAGATAAGAAAACTTCATTCAAAAGTTTATAGAGATCTCTGTGTGTATATTATTGCTATTATTTTCTGTGAGAATATCCCACCTAGGGTTTAAATAAATTATGTATTTGAAATCATTCCATGCAAGTCTTTGCTAGAGATGGGAGTAATTTCTAGTACCTCTAAGGTTTTGGGAACTTCTGCATACGTATATACAGATGCAAACACATCTACAGTATATCTGTGTGTTTGTGTGTGTGTGTGTGTGTGTAGTAGTAGTAGTAGTAGTAGTAGTTCTGAAAATTTAAACCCTAAACCAGAAACTGGGAAAAATACTCACCTGAATTACTCAAGAACTTAGTTTGTGTCTTACATACAAGACCATTTCTGATGGCTGACTTGTTTTTCAAGATCTGAAGCCTATCACTGGGGCCATTTAATAAATCAGGCAGCAGGATTTTTTTTTCTTTTTGAACTAGGAGTGCAAAGTACAAAGTACAAAGATGTAGATCACAGGAAATCCATTAGCCAAATTCTTCTAATTCTACTATAGTAGTCTTTTGTTCTAAAATGTATACAATTTCCCTAATTTGCCAAGCCAAATTAGCCATGAAAACTGTATGGTAATATCTTATTCCTGCACTGGGCTCTTCTAATTCTGGTCCATTAGCAAAAGAGCCAGAAAACAAATGCCAGATAATTGTTATTGACCACGGGAATTTGAAGGATCCATCTGATTCAGCTCTGATTGATCTAATAGTTCAAAATCATCCCCTTCAGCATCTGTATCCAGCTCTGAGCTGGAGGTCCGAAGGAAGGCCTTGGCATTTTGCTGCTGTCTGTTGCTATGCATAGCAACTGACTGGGAAGTTCCTGACAAGGCTAGCTGAATCATTCCCCTGGTCACAAAACCAGCTAAGTCATCTGTCAGATTGTGCATTAATGGAAGCTCACTCAGGAGAAATTCTGAAGTCACTACTTCCTGTTTATGAGACTGTTGGTTCTCTTCCTGGGCACGGTGATGGGGGGCAAGGCTTGGAATGCCAATGCTGGTGTCATCCTCATCGTCTATACCTGTCATCTCAGGGTTGATAGAAGGGAAATCTGGAAGATCTCGAGCAAAAGATTCCTCTGGATCACTGTGGCCATCAAAGTCTAAAGAGAAATTTAATGGGTAATTAAAATTCATGTCTCTATGTGTGTGAACAAATTTTCATTTAAGCTGTATTTTTTTCCACACAAAATGTGTTTTGGTCTACAAATAAAGGCATTATGAAAATGAGTATTATGAAACCTTACAGTCGAACTGAGATCCTTGCATGAGGAACAGAAAAATCAAACAGACTGAACTACAGCATACAGTCAATATTGGAAGAACCAAGTACTCATCTATCTGCACTCTGTTAACCTTAGCTGATAAATGGATGTTAAACTCATTATGACACAGATACCTTTCCCAATCTTATCCTAGAAAGCTCTCAACAGGATATTGAGTTCTGAAAGGTTCCTGTTCAATAAACAAAAAATATTATTCAGTTGATCTTAGTATTTATCTTCCCATATCAGTCACTTCTCAACATCCAATTTAAGTGCAAACATTTTAGAGCAGCTCTATCATGTTTTCATACTGGATGGAAAGTAGCTATTTAGTTTTTGTTTTGTTTTGCCTTTTTATCCTGATGGGCCTCCAAAGTTATATTTAATGTCAAATATATCTTGCATTCCCCCCCCCCATACATTCTACTTACCCTCAGAACCTTCTGTCAATGGAGTTTGGCCCCGGGATAAATTGAAGGTCCCATTCTCAGTATAAGACACTTCTGCATCAGAATGCTCAGAGTCAGAGAAAGTCAGTTCTTTGGCAACCACAGCATCATCCAACTTGGGGGGGGGGAGAAAAAAGGGTTTGAATACTCTTGACTAAGTAGGCAAATGTATATACCGTTAGTTATTCCTGTCATCCTTTTTGTTTTATTGCTTTATTTTGATTGTTGTGAACCACCCAGTTATAGGGAGTTGGGTGCCAAATAAAAATAATTTATATATACTGTAAATAGTCCTCACTTAACTATGCCAATTGGGAGCAGAATTTCTGTCGCAAAGGCATATAGTTGTAAAGCACAGTGACACATGACCATGCTACTTAGTAATGGCAGTTCTGGCACTACCCAGGTGTCTTCTTTAAGTAATTCACGCATTTATTAAGTAATGCGTTTATTAAGTAAGGACATCATGTGGTTCTCATTTGCAAGCTGCTGCTTTCTTCCACCTTAAACTTATTTAGATTCTGAATCTAAATATGCTGCTCCAGCCGAATCTGTGAAATGTCAGCCTTAGATATCAAGCCAAGTTGACTGATCAGAACAAGACCACCTGGATAGATGAATCAGTCAGATGAGGATGACATAACATCTCTCAGTCCCCACTCCTGAGGAATAGAGAGGATAAGGAGAGATGTTCTATGAGGCATCTTGCCAAGCAATGAAGTAACTCTTTTGATTAGTGACAGCTGACTACAGTCTAATTTAAGAAGCAGCCCTGACCCATGTTCCATTTACTGGAAACAATATCTGATCTCCAGCTCTTATGTGATGTTTCTATGAATCCTGTTCATGTAAGAAACCTTGAACTTCTGATCTCTGGGCTCGCTGACAACCCTGATCTGGCTTTTGGAATCTTGAACTGATTTTGGACTATTCTTTTGCACATTCCTATTTAAAAGTCAATAATTCAAGCAAGCATCTGAGATTGTTTGGTTTGAATTCTTTTGTTATCTCTTTGACATTGAGTAAACTGTGAATTACCATAGCAATTGTATGTAAGCCAGTATTTGAAACCAGAAACAGGACAAGTTGTAGGAAGTGGCAAAGAAGATCATAAATGGCAACCACATAACTATGCTACTTTGCAATGTCCTAATAAAAAGCTGGGCACTTGGATCCCAATCATATGACTCAGCAATTCTGGAATGGTCATGAGAATCAGTTGTAACTATCACTCGTTCAGGACCATCTTCACTTCAGTCATTGAATGAATGGACATTAAATGAAGACCACCTGTACAGAAAGAAATCCCAAATTCATACATTCAAAATCTACCCAAATTAAAGTCAGTGGCTACCATAATTGTCTTTAGTCACATGAAGTTAGAGAAGGGCCTATAATTGGAATCCAGCTAATTTGATTCACTTAAAATTAATAATGGACCAAATATTTCTGCTTCACTTAAAATTGAGATATGTCTCCCCCCACTTTGCAAATGAGAAGATTTTCACTTATTCTGAAGTGCAGTAATAATTTCATTTACCTTTCTAGGGTGGAGAATTGGCTATGTTTATGATAATGAATTTTGAGAGGTAGAAGAAATATTGTTTTTCTGAAATATCTGGATTTATCCCAAAGAACACAGCATAGTTTGTGATGCTATAAATAATCACTAAATGAAGAGGAACCCTAAGCACCTATGTATAGCTAAGCAATATAAACACAGCCAAGACTACCTTCAGCTATTTACCTTAATCATCCTCTATTTTAGGAATTTTCTTCATTTCATATTAATACCAATAAATGGACATGCTGCAGTACATGCATACATCATTTTTTCATTGTTACAATAAAACTCTCTTTGATATAAGTATTATTGCAAGAAAAAGGAACAACTGTGTTTTGCTCATGCAGTATAGTACTTATCTATGAGTAATGAATCTTGGTATTGATTACATTAATTCCAATATTGGTCAAGTTATCAACAACTACTTACTTAACCAGTATGGCTGGTTAAAATACAACTATGGCTCCATTATACTGATTTTTATGCACATTTTTATATAGAAATTTTATTTTTAGACTTTTAAAGAACTGTAAATAATTCTATTTCCCTACAATAGTTCACTTGAAGAGTTTAGAGCAGGGCTGTCAAACTCGCAACATTACATGATATGTTGCGACTTTTTTCCCATTGCCGGCAATGGGGTGGGCGCGGTTTTGCCATGACACATCTGGCTTGCGGGCCGGCAGTTTGACACCCTGGTTTAGAGCATCAAAAATAATCAAACATTCACAATGAAATGTAAATATTATGTACTAATAATTGGTTTATATATACTAATCATAAATAAAAAATTGCTCAAGAAATATTTAGATGCTTTTATTATATTAAGAAAATTATACCACAGAATCCAGTTATATGCAAGTATAAAAACAATCTTGAAAGCAAGCAACCACCATAGGGCCATTGCACACTTTTATTTTTTGTTGATTTGGTCTATGTTTACTGAATCATGTCAGTAAATATGAATGGTCACACGTTTGATCTGCTTCTCTGTATTCTGTTGAAATGTGGCCTAGAGCAGGAATCCCCCAACTCTAGGCCACACAAACGGCGGGTGAGTGCACGAAGCTTTATTTGCGCATGCATGGGAGCTAGGCTTTGCATGTGAAACCATCCCCTCCCACCATCACTGTCACTGCCGGTCAGTGGAGCCAGAAAGGTTGGGGACAACTGCCTATAGGATATAAAAACAAAAGTGTTGGCATTGGTGAAAATCTAACTACTGTAAGGAGGAAGAGTCTGCACCTGAGGTGCAATTTTTACAAAACAAACCCAACAGCAATTTTTTTTTAAAAAATCACCTCTATAATTAATAAATATTTATAGATACTCCATTCTCCAAATCATGAAAACACTACCATCTCTCCCCATTGCACTCTTTCCACAAATTTCAACAATATGCTATTCTTTACCAAAGTCTGTGCTACTTTTACCTTAGGACAAAAAGCAGCAAGCTCTTCTTCACTATCACTCTCATTGGCACCAGCAGGATGCTCCCTCCAAATGTGGTGACGTGCTAAAATGAAATTAGAGATCTATCTTCACAGAAGTAAACAGAAGAAAAACCAAAACAATACTATTTACAGATTAAGATTCTAGAATTTGAACATCTACAAGAAATGGGCATTTTCCCCAAAAATCTGTTTAGGACAGGAAAAGGCTTGTCAATATTCCATAAGAATATTTAATAATTTCATCCAAAGCACAATGATGCTAAGTCTTTCATGTACCAATAAAAAGATACAGTGGACAAAATGTAAAAAAAAAAAAAGAGAGCCTCTAATGAAAATTAGAGTCAGACTCACACTGTCTTTCCTTATGTTTGGACATCATATAACCACGAACACTGAAGTCCAACCGTTGCAGAGCTGGCTGTAGTTTGATGTACAGATGTTGACTCAGGTTATGGTATACAGCAAGTGGCCACAATAAGAGAGAAAGCACTGGAAAAAAGAATGATTAGAAGACTACTAATCAATAAACATCTTCAAGAAATATTTGGAACAGGTGGGTTAAAATGTGAAGTTGCTATAATGAGCATTTTACAATGAACTATAGTAGTGATGGCGAACCTTTTAGAGACCGAGTGCCCAAACTGCAATCCAAAACCCACTTATGTATCACTGGGTGCCGAGTGGATGTGGCAGACTGGGTGGGCCTGGCCACTGGATGGGCATGGCTGCAGTGGTCATGGCAAACTAGGTGGGCATGGCCGGGATGGGTAGGGCCACCTCAATGTTGCTCATGGGGACGCCTGTGGGCTGGGCAGGGTTGGGAGAGATCCAGGGGGTCTCTGGCAGGTGGGACAGTGGGCAGGAGGCTCGTCCTGCGGGGTGAGGCGAGGCGAGGCAGGGGGCAGGGCAGAGGTGCCATTGCTGCAAGGCGAGGCAGGGGCTGGATGCAGCCTGACACCATTGGCCCCCGCACACAGCGAGCGCATGGGGACCAACAGCAGCCACAGCCTGCCGGTCCCTCGACCCATGTACTCTGGGCTCCGCAGCCCACTGCCAATACCAAGCCAGCCCTCCAGCAGCGGGCAGAGCAGGGGAGGGAGGAAGCGCGTGATGCAGACTGCCGGATGCACCTACTCTGTCCCATCTGTTTTTGCTTGTGGTTGGAGAGCAGGTTGCTGCTGGTTATCTCCTTGGCCCCCTCACAGATCTTGCCCTTGGCCCGCACGTGGAGCCTGTTCCCCTCGCACACCCAACGCACCTTAGCCCCGCCTTGGACCGCCGGCACCAGCAGCTCATGCAGGTCCATTAGGCTACCATCACTGCCTGGAGCACCTGGCCCGCCCAGCACAAAGGAGGTGAAACAGCCGGCTAGCAAGCTCGAGTAGAAGTGGTAGAGCATACCACGCCCAGCAAGCCGAAGGCTACCCCAAACAGGAAAAGCCGGATCTCCATCAGCGCCATGGCCCCCCAGTCCCAGCTAGGCTTATGTGCCTCCCCCCAACTCTGCTGCGCCTGGACAGCCATGAGGGATACGGCTTCCCCCGCTCATGGTGGCCTTTTGCCTGCTGCCTGCTGGCCCTGGGAGTGCTCTGCCACATCTAAGTGGGGCTTCCTAGCTGACCGCTTCACCTCCTTCGTGCTCCTCCAACGCAGCTCTGGGCGGTGGCCTAATGGACCTGCGCGAGTTGCTGGTGGCCATGGTAGGTACTGAGGTGTGCAAGGGGAGCAGAGAAAAAAACCCTGCTCCCATGTAAGGTGGATTATTTTCTCTGCCATACTTTTTAAACTTTCTTTAAAGTTTACTTGCTGGCAGCAAAAAGTCTTGGAGAGCAGAGAACGCCCCCCCATCTCATGTAAGATGGAGGATTTTCCCTGCCATACTTTTTAAACTTTAAAGTTTACTTGCTGGCAGCAAAAAGCCTTGGAGAGCCAAGAACACCCCCCCCCCCCATCCCACATAAGAGGATTTTCTCCTGTCTTGGCTTTTTGCTGCCAGACAGTCTGGCAGTGAACAGCTAAAGGGAGCGGAGAAAAAAACACTGATCCCATGTAAGGTGGAGGATTTTCTCTGCCATTTTTAAACTTTCTTTAAAGTTTACTTGCTGCAGAATGCGGATCCTTCCCATTCTGCATCAAGTAGAACAGTTTGGCCGCGAACATTGACTGGAGAAAAAAAACAACCCAGTCTCAGGTAAGGTGGAGGGTTTTCACTGTCAGGAGCAAGGAAAAAACCTGTTTGTTTTGAGATGCCAGACTAGCATACATTCACATGCATCCAACCGTCTTGCTTGCTGCAAAGCCAGATTGCAGCAAGGAAGGAAGGGATTGGAGGCACGTGAATGCACGCTAGCCTGGCCATTTCTGGGCCAGTTCTCCGAACTCAAAATAAATTAGGTACCGGTTCTATGGAATGAATCCCACCACTGGGGTGGGGCTTTGTGGGGTTGTTACTGATGTGCAGTAAGATGGAGGAGGCCATCATATTCCATTCAGCCATGGGTTGGCTTTTCCGTGATACAACTCTTGTATGGTTTAAAGGTCGAGGGGGGGGAAACGCAGTGAGAAGCACCCCGCCACTACTTTCCCCACCCCACCCCAATGGAGCGCTCCATCACTGCACCGCTCTGACCCACCCCTCCCATGGAGCGTCCTGCTCCTGCTGCCCCAACCCAACCCTCGCACGGAGAGTCCTGCTCCCGCCGCATCGACCCCTCGCAAAGCGCTTCTCCCGCCGCACCGACCCAACCCTTGCAGAGCCCTTCTCCTGCTGCGCCGACCCAATCCTCGCAGTGCCCTTCTCCCGCTGCGCCGATCCAACCCTTGCACAGAGCGTCCTGCTCCCACTGCCCCGACCCAACCCTCGCAGAGTGCCCTTCTCCCGCCACGCCAACCCAACTCTTGCAGAGTGCCCTTCTCCTGCCACACCGATCCAACCTTCGCACGGAGCGTCTTGCTCCCGCCACCCTGACCCAGCCCTCGCAGAGCGCCTTTCTTCTGCTGCGCCGACCCAACCCTCACAGAGCCCTCTCCTGCCATGCTGACCCAACCCTTGCACGGAGCGTCTGCTCCCCCCACCCTTACCCAACCTTCGGAGAGCGCCCTTCTCCTGCCACACCGCCCCAACCCTTGCAGAGCGTCCTTCTCCTGCCGCCCCGCCCCAACCCTCGCATGGAGCATCCTGCTCCCGCTGCTCCCCCCCCCCCCCCCACGGCACCTTCTTTCCAGCTCTGACGCGGTCCCCCGTCACCTCCTCCGCCACTGTGTGGGACTAAAAATAAAGTTTAATCAATCAATTCCAACTTTGCGAGATCTTTTTCCCCCCCCGAAGTTGAAATTGATTGATTGGTTGAACTTTTTTTTTTTGCACAAGGTGGCGGGGTCCTAAAGTGAAAAGGTATATAAAACCCAGCTTAAAAAGTCACTTGTCCAGGGAGATTTTAATGCAGGTTGCTCATGGACGGGACTGAAGGTCTAGCACTGAGGCGACAGCGTGCGTGCCCACAGAGAGGGCTCTTCGTGCTGCCTGTGGCACGTGTGCCATAGCTTTGCCACCACGGCACTATAGCAAATTCAAACTGGGTCTGGTTAGCTCACTTTTTGACCCTGTCATTTAAAATGTTAATAAATGATTTTCCCCCTTTACAAGAAAAGTATTCTAGTATCCAATCATCCCTTTGATACTCACTTATAAGATAGGCAAGACAGATACCAGGGATGTAGTATCCTAAGACAGCCAAAAATGTAAGGACACCGCAAGCTAAAAGGCAGAACTGCAAAAACAAAACCTTGAAATCAATTTGTATTAGGCAAACTGGTTATGATTCAAGACAATTGTAGGTATATTTGGACTGCTGCCAACAAACTTTTTGAGAAGTGATATCAAACTGAAATTATACATGTAGCTGGGGTTGGAACATGGCAGGCGTATCAATTTCAACTGCCTTCGTCTTATGGGCAATGGGGACAGATCAGGGCAATTCTAGGATATTGGTTGAAAGTTCCATCAAATAGAAATGGGATATTCTTGTACTCCCTTATTTTTCCAATTTCCCTTTTCTTATAAAAGCTCTGTATTTGCTTCTCAATCCTTCAATGCTTACACTTGCAAGGAAACTCACATTATATAAATTATATAGCACAGAACCAGGTATATTATATTTTTATACAGAAATATTCAAACATCTCCTTTTCTCAGGTTTTTGCTTTGGGGTAGCTTTCCCCCATCCCCCAATTAACACATGGTTCCTACAACTTGGGATTGTTTTTCACCTTGCCAGGATTTTGCTTTTTGAAACTCAGCAGGCTTCTCATGAAGCTGTCTCCTGTAATCCATCCTTTGGCCAAAAAGTGGCATAGTTCAGGTACACTCAAAAATCGAGGATGGACAAAGCCCCAACTGAAAAAAAAATCAGATTATATTTTACCTCATTGTAAAATACAAATACACTGAGCACTGTTTTCAAATAGCTGCATTTCACTTACAGAGTTCATTAATATTTGTAATATACATCTTACAGATGAAAGCTAAAGTGCTATTTGTCCTGCTCAAATCCATAACATCAATGGAACTCTTACTGTGGTAAACTTACCTCCAATCTTAATGATAAAATATCATCTGCCTTTTCATTTAAAGTGCATATAGGTACTTAAACAGAGAAACTATTTTCTGAGTTAAGAATCTGTTACAGCATTAATAGATTTTTAACAAATGGCATTTTTGCAAATAAATTCATAGAAGTTAATGAGAGTTTTCTTGAATACTTTAAATTAGACATGAGCAAAAAATAATCTTTGGGGAGAATTCTAGTTTGCACTTGAAAGAGGTAATTAATTTCCAATAAATAATCTTGACTATGTACTCAGAGCAATTAAAAAGGAGCAAAAAAGCAGAGTTTTTTCAGACTTTCAGTATTTCATTTCAAGAAAACTGGAACTCAAGAAAACTCCATGCATACTCATATAGATTTATGAGACTTAATATGGCATACAATCTAATCTAGCTGATATTTTACTGTGGAGTATTAAGCTTACTCCTAAACAAATATGTGGGTGAAGAAGGAGAGTGCAAAAGTTGGCTTGAAACTCAACATTAAGAAAACCAAAATCATGGCATCCGGCCCTCTCAATTCCTGGCAAATAGATGGGGAAGAAATGGAGGTAGTGACAGATTTTATTTTCCTGGGCTCCAAGATCACCTCAGATGGGGACTGCAGCCAAGAAATTAAAAGACGCTTGCTCCTGGGGAG